ATGAACAAGCAGGAGGTTAGAGGGCGCGGTCGGGAGATCCTACTTCATTCCTTTCGCTCTGTTATTTCTGTTTGTCTTAGTTTTTCCGTGCTATGTGTGACTGTGGGTGGTTGGCGGGTGCTCTGGTGTGGTTTGCTTCTTCGTTCCTATCAAACATCTATCGTCCTTATCTCTGCTCCTTCTTTTTTGTGTTTGTTACTCTCTTGTAACACCTAATCTTTGGCTCTTATATGACTTTATTGTGTTGCAAGTGCCGTAAAACACTTACTATAAACTAAAACTAAAAAGCTTCTGTCAGTCTTACCTTTTTCAATGAACAAGCAGGAGGTTAGAGGGCGCGGTTGGAAGATCCTACTTCATTTGTTTTGCTGTTATTTTGTGTGTCTGTCTTACTTTTTCCGTGCACTGTATGACCGTTTCTGTGTCTGTGCAGTGCTTCTCTGTACTCAAACCCAAACCCCTTGTACAAAATGACCGTAGTGGTTTTCTATCATCCAACAAGCAAACTAACAAACTGTTCCACCAGCCCCAACTAAGTGACTGTTCTCGTATTAACAGAATAGGTTTGTCTGGACAAACTGGTCAGATTTTCAAAAACGTTATTAAAGTAAAAAAAAAACAAACACAAAAAACCCAACAACAACAACAAAACCATTTACAAACTTACCAAAAAATATTAATAGAGTGAAAAACAAAACAACAACAACAACAAAAACATGTACTAACTTCCAAAAATATTTATAAAGTACAAAACAACAATAACAACAACAAAAGCATGTACAAACTTAACCAAAAATATTAATATACGTGAAAAACAAAACAACAATAACAACGACAACAAAAACATGTACAAACTTTAAACCTGCCCGCATCTGTTGGTTTGTTTGTGCTCGTTTGCTGGAGTACTGAAACAGCCTCACCTATCACGGGCACGTTAATTCACGTGAAATCTTGTTTTGATGAGATGCGAGTGTAACATTCTTGTGTTGATTATAATGATTACCATCTGTGTCAGGTTGAGGGGGCCGGTCAGCGGGGTCACGTGACCCACACACTCGACTAGAACGACAACAACAGTTGCAGCAGCAACAACAGCAACAATAGGAACAACGAAAAGAACTAACAGCAGCAACATCAATAACAGCAACAACAGCAACAATAACCATAACGACAACAATAACAGCAACAACGATAACAGCAACAACAACAAGGACAACAGCCGCAACAACAACATTAGCAACAACAACAGCAGCATCAACTACAACAGCAACAACAAAAACAAAAACAGCAGCTACAACAACTCTGGCAGCAACAACAACAACAGCAACATCAATAACAACAACGACAACAGTATCAAAAACAATAACAACAACGACAACAGCAACAACCATAACTAACTAGCAACAATGGTAACAACGAAAACAGCTGTAACGACAACAGCAACGATGACATGACACCGTGCCATTTCAACAACACATTTATTATGAACATTACTCGCGGGTTCCACCACATGTTACTCTGCTATAATGTCCTACCTTGTTGTCACCTCTCCTCAACGATTAAGTGGGTGGTCAACAAAAACAACAGCAGCAGCAGCAACAAGAGCAACGACAGCAACAACAATAAAAACAAAACGACAATAACCATAGCAACGACAACAACAACAATAAAAACAAAACGACAATAACCATAGCAACGACAACAACAACAATAAAAACAAAACGACAATAACCATAGCAACGACAACAA